GTCGCAGGGGCATAGGCAGCAGCAAACGCTCCCCTGAGGGAACCTGGCGACACCCTCTTGTATCTAGCCTTGCCGGCGCATGCGTGGCTCTGCGTCGGTCGACCTTTCCTTCCCTAGCTACTCGTGGGAATCGTATGGATTCACAAACACAAAACAACCCAAAGAGGCTGGACGTCAATGCTCACCTCCAGCAAAGGAGACTGGACACCAAAGTCCAACTCCGGCGCAGGAGGCTGGACAACGACGATCACCTCAAAAAAAGGAGGATGGACGTCAACGCCCACCTCCTGCAAAGGAGCCTAGACAACAAAGTTCAGCTCCCGCACAGGATGCTGGACAGCGACGCCCACCTTCAAAAAAGGAGGATGGACACAGTAGTTCACCTCCAACTAACAGGCCCCGGAGAGGCAAAAGAATCTCTGGGTCTGAAGCAAAGATGAGGAAGAGGGATAAGCTGCAGGCAGGCAGTGCTACGGTAACCGCCACCTTCAGCACACCCCCTCACTCCAAACAATACAAAAGCGGCCTAATCAAGTCCCTAGACAGCGACGCTGGTTCTGCCTCCACAAGAGGCCAGGAACACGACGCAACTAGGGACAAGAAAAGGCCGCGATCTTACACCTCTTCCCGGAAGGGGAAACAACCCAGACAGGACCACAAAGTGCTGTCTGGGATAAGCTACAAGGATGCAGCTACGAGCCACCTGAAAGTAACTCTAATAGACAAGGATAACTCTTACGGTAAGGTAACTACCGAAAGAGAAATCTTTGTCAAAAATATACTGATGGGAGAGCTGTACAAAACAATCTTGTCAGCCTCCTGCAGCAAAACCAAGCCACCCACATTCAGGTCTTGGTCGCATGACCTGACGTTGGAATGGCTGAAAACCAAGGTACCAACCTTAAAAACATGGGAAGGAGCAACACTCGCAGTTGTCAAGCTCACCAAAGCCTCTCTCTGGATCCCAGAGGAAGCGCAAGCTGACCTTGGCGAGAAAGAGGTTGTGCTCAGGCGACTTGAGGGGCAAAACCCAAACTTGCATGTGGCGAAATGGCGCACCTTCCACCATGAAATCAAAACAGACCCTAAGGGCCATCTTTTCATCTTCGGCATCGGAGACGAAGACATGGGAACCCTAAAGGCCAAATCAATGAGGATGAGCTATGCATTCACTTCATTGATTTTAAGGCCAAAGGTCGAAAAAGAAGCTGAAGCGGGTCCCAGTGAAGACTCCTTGGTAAAGGACACTCTTCCCTTCCAATTCAAGCCAACAGTGGAGGACGTCGAGCCAGAAAAAATGGCAATCGATGATCTCCAACAAGAAAACTCCGAGGAGCTAAAAGAAACCACCCCCTCCCCACTTTCGGAGGAAGGGATGGTCGAATAAATAACCATCTTGTTGCCCAATTTTCAACGGAGGACCGGGAAGCAATAAAAGAGGTAACGATTATACAATGTAACTTGCAGCACAAAAGGGTGGCTACGGCAACATTATGCCGCCGCCTTGATAATAATAATACTCTCCCTAATTCACCCCCTTACGAGTGAATTTTTACCCCAAAAGCTGAGCTTGTGCAGGGAGAGGATCGGCTATTATTATTATTTGCCGTGGCGCTCCAGGGCGACTTAAAGATGATTGATGGTGATGAGCTGCAAGATACAATAGCACTCATCCAGGAACCCTGTATAATAAAAACCAAAATACAAGCAATGTACCAAAAATAAAGTACAGAAAACAAAGTACAAACACCAGAGTATAAAAAAATAAACAAAATCAAAGTACAAAAAGACAGTATAAACAAGTAAATACAAAAACAAAGTACAAAAAATAACAAAGTATAAAAAAGTAAGTACGAAAAAAGTACAAAAAAATTAAAGTACAAAGAACATAACATAAACAAGTAAGTACAAAAACAAAGTATCTATACAACAAAGTACCAAAAACAATCATATTTATTCTCTCAGAAAGCCAAGCAGGCTCCTTCAGTGTTGAAGGTCTTTAATGAACATAAATTGAAGATGTATATGTTACACGAATTCCTTCAATGGTTGAAAAATAATGCAAAACTAATTTTGAAATTATTACGTTGTGAATGATATAATCATTTTAACCTAACACGTGTATAAACTTTACTTTCCAGCTCCTGTTACACAATATACTTTTTTTAAATCAAAACACGTAAATCCTGTGATTAAATCAGGTAACTCGGAATATTAAAAAGTTAATCCCGCTCCCAAAAGAATTGAGATTCCCTGTTGAATCCTGTGTGCCAGCAATTTTTTTTAAAATTTATTCTGCAAATGTTATGCAAACATTAGTTGCTTACTGTTTTATATAACTATTATTCAAATTCATCATATAAATGCTTTGTGCAAACATTTCGTATACCGGAAATTTGCATCAGATTTTAAAAATCTGGAATAAATAAATATTTCATTTTCACTGGAATAAACTTTTCAAAATAATCAGTCTAGCATGTTTATATAAAATCGTAGATACTGTGCGCCATATTCCACTAAAAAAATCCTAATTTTATACGGATAGAGTTTAGATTTTTTGATAATAATATTTATGCAAAAAATGTATTATTTAGAAAGTTATTTTTGCTGAAATGGATGTCTAACAAAAATAATTTTTTCTACTACCGTGCGTAAAGTACGTACTTTACGCACTCCACGAAGTGTGTAAAGTTGTACTTTTTTTCACTAGTGCGTAAA